ACAGCTGCTCATGATAAGCCTTCTCTGCAGAGATGACAGGGGCATAAGTGGCCAGCGGGAAGTGGATGCGAGGGTAGGGCACCAGGTTGGTCTGGAACTCGGTCAGATCGACATTCAGGGCTCCATCGAACCTCAGTGATGCTGTGATGGATGAGACAATCTGACTGATGAGTCTATTCAAGTTGGTGTAGGTTGGGCGCTCGATGTCCAGGTTCCTGCGGCAGATGTCATAGATGGCCTCGTTGTCCACCATGAAAGCACAGTCCGAGTGCTCCAGGGTAGTGTGTGTGGTGAGGATGGAGTTGTAGGGCTCTACCACAGCGGTGGAGACTTGTGGTGCAGGGTAGATGGAGAACTCCAGCTTGGACTTCTTGCCGTAGTCAACAGAGAGTCGTTCCATCAAGAGGGAGGTGAACCCAGAGCCAGTGCCACCTCCAAAGCTGTGAAACACAAGGAATCCCTGAAGTCCTGTGCACTGGTCAGCCTGCAGAGAGAGATGCACGAGATTGTTCTGAGATGCATTTCTTTGTGAAGGCCTGACTATTCAGAAGTCCCTTCAGGACCTGGTCCATCCTTGCCTTGGGCAGCTGCAGATCCCTCCCAGGATGCAGCAGGGCTTGCAGTGTGCTCTGAGCCCCAGTGGGATGGTGGATCCTACGCGTCAGGAGGACAGGTCCCCTCCCCGAGGTCACTTACCAGCTTCCGGATCCTGTCCAGCACTTGGTCAATGATCTCTTTGCCAATAGTGTAGTGCCCACGGGCGTAGTTGTTGGCAGCATCCTCCTTGCCAGTGATCAGCTGCTCAGGGTGGAAGAGCTGGCGGTAGACTCCTCCCCGAACCTCATCTAGGAGAGAAGAGGGGCAGGTTGAGCCCAGTGGAGGCAGCTGGTTTGAGCCATCCGCCGAGCAGAGTGGGTGCCAGCAGCTATCCCTCACCTTGGCTCTGCCTGCCACTGCCATGGCCAAAGACCCACACGTCAGCAAAGCCAACAGCAGTGTCAGATTTCTTTGGCAGGAGGAGGTGGCTGCCACCTCCCTGCGCAGCTCAGGTTCTCCCACCCATCCGGAGCTCCCTGCCCACAAGCACAGCAGGAGCTGCTGTGCCGGTTGGGCTGGTTTCTCTCTGTGCACATGTGGTACAAGCACCGCTGCCTCTAGGACACTTTAAGAACAAAAGCAGGTGCTCAGGTTTGTGGCTTCTCCTGGGGAAAAAGAAGGGCCCTCAGGTTGAACCCAGTGCAGGATGTTGTCAGCAGAGCATGAGCACCGGACACCTGCTGCCTGCTACCCACCCATGGGGGCACCCCAGGCTGTGTGATCTCCAGCACTCACCTATCACAGTGGGCTCCAGGTCCACAAAGATGGCCCGTGGGACATGCTTCCCAGCCCCGGTCTCACAGAAGAAGGTGGTGAAGGAGTCGTCCCCTCCGCCAATGGTTTTGTCACTGGGCATCTGCCCGTCGGGCTGGATGCCGTGCTCCAGGCAGTACAGCTCCCAGCAGGTGTTGCCCATCTGGACGCCGGCCTGGCCGACGTGGACGGAGATGCACTCGCGCTGGGGAGGGGGAGGCAGGGTCAAATCCTGGCACAGTTCTGTTCTGCCTGTCCTAGGGAGCGCTGTGGCTGGTGCCAGAGTGCCACAGAGTCACCCATACACGACTTACTCTGGTTAGTGACCCCCGAGAGCATGTTTTCCTTTGGGTCACTTCCTGCGTGCCCCTGAGGGGCCCCATATGTCTGTCATTGCCCTCAGCCATGCACAGACACCATGCTGGGTCAAGAGCCAGCTCTGGCATCCCTCTTGCCCTGCCCTTGCTGGGGGCCACCAGCACAACAGAATCTGGCCAGGCCTGTCCTCCCGCAGCATGGGGAGCAGAGCCTGGTCTGGTTTCCCTGCTCCAGCCACTTTGCCAGGGTCCCTGGCAGACCCAGCCCCTTCCCCTGCCACAGCAGTCCAGTGAGGCAATGAGTTGACAGGGGCACACATTTAACCCATTAGTGCAACCAGCACGAGGGAACTGCCCAGCCTGCTGTTCCAGAGCCAGATAAACCCTCAGTTTTCTGGGGTGAGTGGCCTTGGGGAGGTTGGGCAAGGGTGGTTGGTGGCAGGTGGCAGCCAGGTGAGGGCTGGCAGTGAAGCCCAGCAGTTTCTGAGGCAGCATAGAGACTCCCTAGTCCCAACCCTGTGCTGCAAAACCTGTGTTGGCAGAGGTGCTGGGGAGCAGGCTGTGAACTGGAGATGTACCTTGTGCACTCCTATACCTATTAGGTTTAGGCCTGCTCTGCTACCCTGGCATCCCTCTTCTGCTGCCCCTGGCACCCTTAGTCCTCTACCCCTGGCAACCCACCTCTGCTAGCCCTAGCATCCCTGTTTCATTACTCCCGGCATCCCCACTTCCCCTGGCGGGACACCCCGACTCAGCTTGGGGGTCCTGGAGCATTTCGCTCCTGCTTTCCCCAACTGCACAGTGCCCTGAGCTGTGATGGAGTCCGTGTGCAGGTTCAGCGCCGGAGTAGGACAAGGGCTCCTGCCTCCTGCGGGAGGGCCAGGAGCAGCCCCAGCCGCCGGGAGGAAGGGAGGGCAGTCCGGGGCAGGGTCCCCGGCAGAGCCTGGTCAGCACTGCGGCGGGGAGGGTAGGGCGCTGCGCCTCCTGGCACGGCCCCGGCCCACTCCCGAGTCGCTAAATATAGACAGCCCCGGCCCCGGGCGAGGGTAGCGGCGACTGCCCGCTTCGGAGAGCGACCCCGGCCCACTCTGGCGCTATCAGACCCCAGTGGGACGGGACTGGAGGGACGAGACCCCTACACCCGCGCCCCGCCACCAGCCCCGACGGGGCGCCCGCTGCCGTGGGGGGAGCCCCGCCGAGCGCCCAGCTCCGGTCCCCGGAGCCCGGCTGGCGCCTCCACTCCCAGCAGCTGTCCCTGTCCGTCCCCCGCCACCGCTCCCCACCGGAGAGGTCACCCCCCCATCCCCAGGGCCCTCCCCGCTGCGGCAGCGGGGGGAGGGCAATCACCCCGGCATCGGCGGTGGGGGGAGCGGGCGGGGGGGCACGGCTGCCCCCGGGCAGGGGCCGGCAGGGCTGCTCAAGGTCACAGCGGGGAAGGAGGGGGCGCGTCGCGGCCGCTCCGCCGGGCACGGTGCTGCGGGGAGGCTGCGGGGGCACTGCCGGGGGGCTGCCGGGCGCCCTCCCAGCCGCCGTGCCCCACGCCGGCCCACACTCACCATGTTGCGGCGGGGGGCGCGGGCTGTCCCGGTTGCTCGGTGCTGCGGGGCTCGGCGCGGAGCTGCGGCTGCTGCAATCCCCGCCGCAGCGCTCTCTTATAGGGGGGAGGGGCTTGCTGTCGCCGCGCCCCCTTTTTTTGGGTACGCTTGCATGCGAAGGGGGAGTACCACTTCGGGGTCCGCGGGAACCTGGCGGTGTCTTCCTGGCTGCGGAGGAACCCCGAGGTGCGGGGGCCGGGGCTGTTCCCCCTTCTCTGCCGGGAGGAAAGCGGGGACACCCGGCCAGGCTGCGGGCAGAAGACTTGGGGACCAACCCCCAGGGGTGAGCGGTGGTGCTCACCCACCAGCACCGGAACCCGAGCAGGTAGAGCAGCCCCTAACCTGCTCTGTCACCAGCTTCCCCCTGGGATATGGGGACACCCTGAGACCACTTGGGCCTCTAGAACAGGAGAAATAAGGAGAAACATGATACAGACACACATCAGACTCTGGAGCTCAGGGTACCTCCAAACCTCCCTTTGCCATCAATACTCTGGAAGTCTCCAGCCAAGGTTTGCCCTTCTCTCCTGATGGGGACAAACACTCAGTTCTGCACAACCCTGTGAGGCTGCAGATCTGCATGACAAATCTGGGCTGCCAAAAAAGGGTCATTGCAGACTGCTTGCTGTTAATAACTTGTGACTACATTCAGAGCAGCAGCTCTGTTTGAGCCCTGGCCAGCACGGCCACCCCTGCCAGGGCCGAGGATGATCCTGATGCTGAGGATGCCTGGACCACCAGCCTTGCATGCTGTCTGCCAGGGCCTGGGCTCACACAGATACCCCTCCCTGGACATGGGGATGGCTGGGGCTCAGCAGCATACCAGGAGTAGCACACCAGGGACATTGCTGTGTCTCCCTCGGAGTCCAGGTCAGAGGTGTAGAAAATAGTAATAGGATGCAATTCCAACTCCTTCGTCCTTTTGGTTGCAGAATCAGATCTCTGTGAATATCCAGGGAGTTATCTGTGATGGAATTACTCCTGGAGGAGCAGGTTCCATCCTTTCTCCACACTCAGACCTCAGTAAAGAGTGGATCAGAGCAGCACCTGGTGTGAGGGGCAGCAACTCCTGCCCTGGCACAGCAGCAGGCACCACTCAGTCTGAGCCCAGTGCTCTGGTCACAGACGTGCAGAGCAGTGCCAGCAGCCCTGCACAGTGGGATGAGTGCCTGGCTGCGCTCCAGCAGCTGGGGGTGGCTCCCACTCCCCCTCCAGCTGACACGGGTGCATGTCGGGAGGAGAAGGGCAGGGGAGGACAGCCCCCGTGGGTCAATATAGCTGTAGCATTAGTGGTAAGCAGGGAAAATTAATCTCTGGAAGCAGCATGCTGGATAATGGGTAACAGAAATCTCCAGTTTGCAGCTGGAGCCAGGAGCTGATGCTGGGACTACTCACCAACAGGCAGGGCAGTGAGACTCAGAATGGGGACAATGCAGAAGATGATCTGGGGCAGGTAGAGTGGGGCTACGTGCCCCAGGGGGATGGCAGAGCACAGGCAGAGCAGGGCAGACAGAGGTAATCCCAGATGGAACACCCCATGCCTGAGTTAGGTGCTTCTCCTATCACATCAACAGCACTCTTCTGGATCCCTTTGATGGACATGCTTGGGCACTGCCCCAGAGCCTGCCATGTGTCCTGGCCATATCCCTCTGATATGGGGCTCTTATCTACGTGAGGAGGCAGAGCTGGGCAGAGCGCCAGGAGGAAGCATAGTGGCACCAGTACCAGGGCTGAAGCACTCACCACACACCTGACCTGGCAAGAATACAGCTGGGGGACAGTGGGAGACACAGAGGCTCTGAAATGGTTTATTGCAAAGGGTTTCTGCAGATAACATTGGGAAGGAGCATGGTCCTTTTTGGCTGAGGCTTTTCTATTCCTCACCCTCGTCTTCATCCTCATAGGAGTCCAGGCCCACCTCCTCATAATCCTTCTCCAGAGCGGCCATGTCTTCCCGTGCCTCAGAGAACTCGCCTTCCTCCATGCCCTCGCCCACGTACCAGTGCACAAAGGCGCGCTTGGCGTACATCAGGTCGAACTTGTGGTCCAGGCGAGCCCAGGCCTCGGCGATGGCCGTGGTGTTGCTCAGCATGCAGACGGCGCGCTGCACCTTGGCCAGGTCGCCCCCTGGCACCACCGTGGGAGGCTGGTAGTTGATGCCCACCTTGAAGCCCGTGGGGCACCAGTCCACAAACTGGATGCTGCGCTTGGTCTTGATGGTGGCAATGGCGGCGTTGACGTCCTTGGGCACCACGTCCCCGCGGTACAGCAGGCAGCAGGCCATGTACTTGCCATGGCGAGGGTCACACTTCACCATCTGGTTGGCTGGCTCGAAGCAGGAGTTGGTGATCTCGGCCACTGACAGCTGCTCATGATAAGCTCTCTCAGCTGAAACCACAGGAGCATAAGTGGCCAGTGGGAAGTGGATGCGAGGGTAGGGCACCAGGTTGGTCTGGAACTCGGTCAGATCAACATTCAGGGCTCCATCGAACCTCAGTGATGCTGTGATGGATGAGACAACCTGGCTGATGAGTCTATTCAGGTTGGTGTAGGTTGGGCGCTCGATGTCCAGGTTCCTGCGGCAGATGTCATAGATGGCCTCGTTGTCCACCATGAAAGCACAGTCTGAATGCTCCAATGTGCTGTGTGTGGTGAGGATGGAGTTGTAGGGCTCTACCACAGCAGTGGAGACTTGTGGTGCAGGGTAGATGGAGAACTCCAGCTTGGACTTCTTGCCGTAGTCAACAGAGAGTCGTTCCATCAAGAGGGAGGTGAACCCAGAGCCAGTGCCACCTCCAAAACTACGAAACACAAGGAATCCCTGGAGTCCTGTGCACTGGTCAGCCTGCAGAGAGAGACAAGTAAGGTTTCTCCAAGCACTGACTTGGGTGGAGGGAAGTTTCAAACTTTTGCTTGGGTAGTTGCAGATTCCTCCCAGGGTATTGAGGAGCTCACCCCCTACTCCCATCCCCCAAAGGATGGTGGATCCCACCAGTCAGGGAGACATGTCCCCTCCCCGAGGTCACTTACCAGCTTCCGGATCCTGTCCAGCACTTGGTCAATGATCTCTTTGCCAATAGTGTAGTGCCCACGGGCATAGTTGTTGGCAGCATCCTCCTTGCCAGTGATCATTTGTTCAGGGTGGAAGAGCTGGCGGTAGACTCCTCCCCGAACCTCATCTAGGAGACATTGGCACAATGACAGAGATTTTCTAACTGGGCCTGGGGAAAGGTGGCAGGAGCCACTCTAGGAAGTGTCCTGTAGTGGGTTGTTCACAGAAATAATGACCACTGCCACTGTCCAGTAGGGTACACTCACCAATCACAGTGGGCTCCAGGTCCACAAAGATGGCCCGTGGGACATGCTTCCCAGCCCCGGTCTCACAGAAGAAGGTGGTGAAGGAGTCGTCCCCTCCGCCAATGGTTTTGTCACTGGGCATCTGCCCGTCAGGCTGGATGCCGTGCTCCAGGCAGTACAGCTCCCAGCAGGTGTTGCCCATCTGGACGCCGGCCTGGCCGACGTGGACGGAGATGCACTCGCGCTGGGGAGGGGGAGGCAGGGTCAGATCCAGCAGAGACCAGAAATGCAATCACTACAAGTGCTGCACAGCCCAGACGGGGCAGCCTGGGCCCTTGTCAGCTTGAGCAAGGGACACTGCCCTGGTGCCTCGGTGTCCTGTGTCCATCCCAATCAACTGTGGTCTCCCAGTTCTGGTGTTCTGCCTCTCATCACTGCACTGACCACCTCACTGGCCCAGGGAGATGGAGACCCATCTGCTGGAGCCCAGGACACCAGGCCACCCATTCCCTGAACTGCCCCCACCCACAGCCCTGGAAAGTATCCCGTGAGCATCTTCCCCATTGTACAAACATCCACGTGGCTTAAGGGCTGGGGCCCTGCATCAGCTGGCACAGCCCCTGTTGCTATTCCAACAACAGGACTGGAGGCTGAGATGGCAGAGCACCACCCAGGCACTGGGAGCTGAGGAGGTGACGGCACTGAGGATGGGTGCCCAGCAAGGGTGGGGATTTGCAGCCATGAATGGTTGCCATGTTCTGAAGCTCAGCTTCCCTAAATTAGCTCTGGAGGAGGAGGAAGCATTAGCTGCTCTTCTGAACTGAACTGAAGGGCTGAGCAGGGAGGGTCACCTAGATCACAATTTTGAGGGCAGCCTCAGGTTCATCAGGAGAAGACAGGCTAAGGAGGGCCCTGCAGCCTCACTCCTTTCAGGTGAGGCACCCCAGGCCCTGCAGTCCTTTGAACAAGAACCAAAATATTCAGCGCCTTAGACCTGCTGTTGCCAAGGATTTGGATGCGTCATCAGGCACAACTGAGGCAGAGGAGCATCGAAATCAAACCGGATTTCCAGAGCCATGAGTGCCCCAGTGTGAGTCAGCTGGCAGGAAGCCGGTGGAACCAGCCATTTTGCACTCAGGAGCAGGGCAGTGACTGCCGAGGAAGTTACACAGGATGCAGCAAGTCCTGGCTCTCTGCATCTAGAGTGCTTTCAGTGCTGCATTTCAGAGGCAGCAGTGACAGTGAGGAATGACAGAAAAATTAGCCCTTGATACCTGTGGTGAGAGGCAGAAGCCCATCTTCCCACCTTTCCCAAAGTTGATGTGCAAGGAGCAGCAAAGCAGTACCCTGCTTATCCCTCCCAGCAGGTCCATAAAGGTTGTGTAATACAGGGAGCCAAGGGTAAGTCCTGAGGACTTAAGTCCTGAGGTAAGTCCTCCAGGATCCTCTACAGAAGGACACAGAAAACACTTGGCACAGCTGCAAGCACCTCAAGAAAGAAAAGGTGAGAAAGGACTCCTTCCTGGCCAAGGACCTTGCAAATCAGCGTGGGGCTGCAGAGGGTTGTGCTGCTCACTGCACTTCATCCCACCAACATGCAGCAGCCAGGACTGGCTCTGTGGGACCCAGCACTGATAGCAGGGTGGGCAGAGCCCAGCAAGAAGCAGTGCTGGTCACCAGCCAGAATACTGCCTTCTTCCCGGCAAGGTCTGGCACAGGAAGCTGGGAGCATGGACCTGCAGGACAGCAGGCAGAGTGCCTAGGGAACCTTGGGGCCGGGATGCTCTCCAGGGCATATGGAGAGCTCAGGAGACAGAGCTCACCCTAGAACCAGAGCAGCAGGGCATCCCGGAAGCCCACCCACAGTGATGCCCACTCTTGGAGCAGGGCAGGGATGAAGGAAGCCACAGCTTCCTGACACGGCTCAGCTGTGGATTGGCAGCGTGGGGGGGTGGGCTCCACGCAGCTGGGGACGGTACCACGGGACAGAACCGACACTATTAAAAGTCGGAAAGGAAAGTGCGGTGAGGGAGTCTGTCCGAGCGTCGGTCTCCAAACCCGGCAGGGCTCGTAGGGGGCCTCCTTGCCTCGAGTACAAGGGGATGCTCAAAGGACGGAGGCTGCTGAGAGCCAGGGAGGGAGCAGCTCAGAAAGTGACTGAAGGCAGGTAAAGGCAGGACAAGCAAGGCTGGCACTCCTGCTGGCAAGCTGTCCGCACCTCTGGGCTCCCGGCAGAGCCCTCCCGGGAAGCCACGGGGACCGCAGCCCGCTCCGAGGAGGGCCCCGGCGGGGTTCCCTCGCTCCCGGGAGCACTCGCGGGACCAAAGGGGGGGCGCAGCGGGGGCCGGCACTCACCATGATGCCGCCGCTGCCGCACGACCTGCCTGTCCCCGGGCTGCCGCAGCTCCGCACCCCGGGACAGCGGCGCCGCCGCCGCCCTTATACCGGGGGCGTCACCGGCGCTCCGGGGCGGGCTGCCCCGCCCGAGACGGCCCCACACGCTTGCATAGATTTGCGAGCACTGCTCATATTTGCATAGATTTGCATAGATGGGGCTGTGCTGCCCGGCAGCCGGCGGGGTGCATAGATGAGGCCATCGGGGAGCAGCATCCCCTGACCAGAGGACAGGAGACCCGGGGATCCCCTCGAGGAAAGGGCCATAAATGTTGTCCCTGCTACGCTTGCTGGTCTTGGTAGAGGGGTTTCTGTTGAGGAGCAGAGATGGCACCTTCCAGCTTAGTGCTCTATTGGCCACCATCCAGGCACTAACCCAGAGAGAGTTTATGAGCTGCGGCAGGAAAGCCAAGAAAGAACCTGGCCCAGGTCTTCCCTCCTGGTGGGTGTAGGTGCTGATGTGATCCTGGACAAGCACAGAGCCAGGTCTCTGCCAGCCACCCAAAGCCTCCAAAAAACATCTGGGAGAATTTCTGGAGGAAGCACGGGCAGAGGAAACTCTTCAGAGATGAGAACAAGCTTTCCTGACCTCTTTGGAGATCAGTGGGGGGAAAAAAGCAGGAAACCTCTCTCCTGTCCTTTGTATCAAACCCCTCAAGGACTGTTGTATCCCCAGGCTGTGTCTGAAAGCCCTACCTGCCAAAGGGCTTCTTCTCCAGCCTGGTTCTGCATTGCCTCCACGGTATTGATACGATTTCACAAAGCTTTATCAAAGGAATGGTGCAGGTATGGAAAGAGCTTGAAGCACTTCGGATGGGGTTTATTGGAGCCTGCAGTGACTTCACTGATGTCTGGCTTTACTACAATGAATAACATGTCCTACGCCTCCAAAATGCTCACAGCATCCACTGTGGTGCAGAACCAGTCCTGCCTCTGCCTGAGCGCTGTGACTTAATGAGTTTTCACTGAAAGTTGCTGTCATCTCTCAGCTTGATCTGAAAGTTGAAAGCTGGACCTAAATTATCCACCCACAATGGCCTTTCTTTGTGCCTGAGTCACCTGGAAAGTGTCACCTTCACTGATGAGCATGTGTAAAGTGACTGAAAGCAAGAGTACTGCTGAGAAGCCTGTGTTGGTGTCTAAGCAACACATTTTTGAGACCTGCAGAAATGGCTGAGCCAAAGGATCAGAATGGGTTTAATCAAGCTGGTGGGAAAAGGTTGAGGTTTTTTTCCACAGAGGTGCCCCAGGTTGTGAGTGCTGCTGAACATGCACAGGATGCTGTTGTGACTAGATAACTCTAGAAATGCCTCCCCCTGGTATAAATGTCCTTTGAGTGACCTCAGAGATCACTAGATAATGCAGACCATGCTGATGCAGACAGTCCATGAGAGTGAGAGAGTAATTGGCAGCACTGAGGCATCAAAATTTGAACCCAGATGTTAAGTGGAGTGAAAAGAAGTGATGGTATCATCTTTCTCTATGAAAATCATTGCCAAGGTGTTAATTGAAATGCATAGTGGACGTCAAGGCATCACTTCTGACTGGGTGTGTCCTAGCACCCTCCTTAATTATACACTGCCAATTAATTCTGGGGCATTTTTAACACAATGCTTTGCAGTAGTGGTTGGAAGCACAAGTGTTGAGCTAGGCAGCAAGCAGCATCTCAGGTGGCCACACAGCTTGCAGCCATGGCTTATGCGTGAATGCTTGTGCAGTTCACCCAAATTCTGAACACTTGTATGACAATCTAGGGGCGCCTGGGGTTGTAAAATGATGTTATACTTCTCCAGGAAATGCCTGGAACTGTTTACATACCATTCTGGTAGAGAGCTGAGGGTGAAATATCCTTGGTTGGTTGTTGCTGCAATTGCATGTTCCACAGTGAAAATACCCACTCAGATGCTGTTTTGTTGGACAATCAGAGCAGCACTGACTGACAAGAGAGCCATGAGTCATTTGGAGCTGTGCATCCCCATGTGCCTCTGATCTGAAACGTCCAAACAGATGTCTAAGCTTTTCTGAAATGCTTAAGAACATCTGGCTAAATCCAGGGAGCACCAATCGTCTGCATCTTGTCAGTGCCTAACTGTTCATCAGCCTGAGAGATGCTGGTAGCAGCAGCCTGCAAGCACACAGCAGAGGCTGAGTTCGCTCTGTCTGAATTTGTCCTGAGGCAACCCCTCTCTTACAGAGATGTAACCCACACGTCTAAGAAGACCCTACAAATGTTTTCAGACCATATCAGAAATCAAAAGATTGCTAGAATTGCTCAGGAAACATTTTCATCATTGTGCAGAACATGGTTGGACTCTGCATCGGCAACCAGAGAGGTACAAAAAGCAAGCAAGGCAAATTCTAGGCTATAGAGTCAGAATTCAACCATCTCTTTATTGAAGGATGGGAAAACCAGATTGAAGATACCCCAGGGGCAGAGCCCTGCCCACTGCAGGGGAAAGCCCCTACTTGCTACTCTCGGGAACCAGCCAGATCTTGACAGGTACCTGCTGGTACAGGAACCCCTGTCAGCACAGGTTGCATTTACCCAAACAAAGCCTCTCACATAGCTGTCTTCCAGAAGTATGTTAAAGACTGCCACACCCAAAGCACCCAGAGCTGAAACTGGGGAGGAGATGGGTTCAGAGCCCGGCCTGGTACCTCCCATCCACACCCCAGTTCCCTGCATTCTCTGCTGAGGAAAGCCCAAACTATTGTTCCAACTTTTCAGATTTCAGTTCCACCCAGCCTGTTCCAGGCAGAGCAAACAGTGTCACAGGGCAGTTTGGGGACATGGCTTTCTTGGGAAGGTAGAAGAGAGCACAGCTGTGCTGTGGGTCTGGCATGGAA